ATAAGAAGTTGTTGTACTTCTTAACTCATAGAGTTAAGGAGGCAGAGTGTATGTATATATAAATATATATACATCTATATATATGTATATTAAATATATATATATTTAATATATTTACATATAAATATTATCTACGTACTATTTATTTTATTTTTGTGTCTATAAAATATTATATACTGCATATAATTTAAGATGTCTGTGTATGATGTATATAATATGTATAATAAATATATTATATAGTATACGACATGCATAATAAAACTTATTATTATGCGTATTGTATATTATATAATGCATTATATAATATAATATCATATATATATATATATATATTTATATTTATATATATTTGTATCTATATTATATAATGTTTTATTAATCTTGTTTATACATATCATGTATCTATGCAATTATAATATGCATATGTATGTATATATTATCTAAACGTATTATATATTTTATATATATTATGTTGTTTATATATATATATATGCATGTATACAAGGATATCTATAATATATATAATATATTGTATATTATATATATTATAATATCTATATTATATATGTATATATATATATAATATATATATACAAGCAAATAAGTATAGGCGTATGTATATGCATGCGGTGTACACAAGATAAACAAACAAAGGTAGAAGACAAAGACAGCGAGAAACAAAGAAGAAATAAAACATAAAAACAAACAAAGATAAACAAATAGATGTATAAATAAACATGCAAAGAACAAACAAATCAATAGACGAACGCGCTTGAAGGATGCATGCATATTATATATATATATAATATATATATATATATATATATGCTCGCTAGTGAGTAATATATATAGTATATAATACGTATAATATATACATTATATATTCTTAAAGTATATCCGCAAGTGAGCAAATGCAGATTATGTTCAGGTGTACATGCAGCTATTGTTTAAAAGAAGCAGTCGTACTAAACAGCAAAAAAATATAAACATAGATGCGCAGGGGATGGATGTGCTGCTGTCACTGCAGTAATAAATATACACTTCAAATATACATAAAGTATATATAATATATATTATATATATTGTATATATAGTATATATATTATATATATTATATATATTATATATATTTCTTATCTACACACTCTATATATATATATATATTTGTGTATGTATAACCATGCATACTCTAAATAAAAAAGATAAAAACTTTATATAAACACAAAGGAGATTATTAAGCGACAATTAAGCAGGAGATAAGCAGAGACAGATTTTGCTGGCGTTGTTTTGTTTGTGTTGAGGTGTATGTACACCTCAGAAGTGTCTCCTGTCTCCTCTCCGCTGTATATATCTATATTTATATACATATATATATAAACAAATAAATAAATATATATATATATATATATATGCTGTGCTGCGCATCGTCTGCTTGATTTTCTTTTTTGCTGTTTTTTCTAGGGTGTCTCCTTTGATAATATGAATAAGAATTAAATGCATGGTCCCCCTGCATGCGTCTTTGTCTTCTCCGGTGTATATGCAGCTACTTGTGCATGCATGCACTTGTTTTGCTGGGGATTAATAATGCAAGACTTAAAGACACTCCAGAGGGTAGCCTCAGTATTTCTAATAAACAAAAACATAAGCAGTAATTTACTTCAACGCTAAGCACCATCCGGCTGGCAGCGCGGTGCATGCATGCTCGTGTAGATAGCTAGCTAGCTAAAGACGTAGCTAGCTAGCTAGCTAGCTAGCTAGCTATTTACGTCTCACCCGCGCGGAACAAACCGCTGCACTCTGCTCTTCTTTTGCTGCCGATTGCAGCAGCTAGAAGAGCAACAGAGTGTTTGCATGCACTGGGGTTTGGGTGGCTATCAAACAGTTCTTCTGTTCGGTTGTCTCCTTTGTGTCTCCTTTGTGTCTCCTTCAGTAGTGCATGCATGCGTTTTGGGGCTGGGCCTACCAGTGCGTAAACGCATGCATGTATGCACAGCTTCTAGTTCTTAGTTTGCTGCCCCTGCATGCATGCATGCATGCGTGCAAAGCCTTTAGAGTTTAGCTTTCTGCTACTGCATGCATGCATGCACAGCCTTTAGTTTAGCTTGCTGCTGCTGCATGCATGTAGAAATGCATGCATACATACTCTAGGGCATAGACAGAGAGACACATTTTGCTGTAGCATCGATAAGAAATATAGATATCTGGAGACAACATATATATATATATATATATAATATACAAATATATTTATATACATGTATATATATATATATATATATATAAGACAATACAGCACCAGTTGCATCTTCTGCAAGTAGGATCGGCTGTGAAGGTGTAGCGAAGCAGTTTGTATTTTAAAGAAACAAATATATTAATATATGTTTTCGTCTTTAAGAAGGTTTAGGTTTTATAGGGCTCTTAAGAGATGTCTCCTTTACTCTTCTGCACATGTTGATAACAGTAGCTAATGCTTTAACTTCATAATTATATTGTTTTGCTTCTCCTGCTCTTTCAGTAGGTTTGTTTAAAAGATATAGAGAGTTTATTATCTAGACAAATTACAAAAAAAAAGAAAGAGCAGACCTCATCATACACCTGAAATACTCTCCAGGCCCCTCTTCTTTAATTATTATTATTATTATTATTATTATTATTATTATAGTAATAGTAATAATAATAATAATATATAATAATAATAATAATATAATAATAATATTTTCTTTAAGCAAATAAAGTAGAGGCTTGCGGAACTGTATGATGAGAAGTATCAGCATTCTTGCTTTTTAGTTTTTATTTTGCTGCCTCTTTAAAACAATTAAAACCCCCTATTGCATTAAGATAAATCCTTTAAAGAGATAAATATTTAATAAAGAATTACTCAGCTGTCTCAGCTATGTACATACACCGGAAATATCATCATAAACATTACAGCCCCAATCTATGCATGCGCTCTTCATACAGTTGTTATTTTTGTCTCCTTTACTTTCTTTTTATGTATGCATTATATATATATATATATTTGTATATATATATATATTTGTATATATATATATAGATTTGTATATGTGTATATATTTGTATATATATATATATATATATTTGTATATACATATATATTTGTATATATATATATATATATATTTGTATATATATATATATAATGCAGAAACGAAGAAGGCTAGGGTTGATGGTGGAGCTGTCTTTCTCTTATTTTTTTTTTAAGTTTTTATCGCATGCATCTTTACCTGCGCATGCATAGGTTAGTGAGGGCAGCATAAAATAATATAATAATAATTATTTTTAGATATGTTTATTTCTAATAACAATAATATCTTAAGAAGATAATTTTTTGCTTATAAAAATATTTATAAAGTATTTTTATTAACAGTCGCAGCCAGGCGGTGCTGACAAACTAAAAATGTTTAAATATGTAAAGTAATTTAGTCAGAAAAACAAATAAGCCCTCAACCCCTGCTTAATTATATATATACATGTATATATTATATGCATATATATATGTAGATATATATATGTATATATATATATATATATAACCTATATATATATATATATACATATATATCTACATATCTATAAGCTATATATATACATATGTATATACATATATATAAGCTATATATATACATATGTATATATATGTATGTATATATATATATATAAGCTATATATATACATATATATATATAATATATATATACGTATATATATATATATATTTATATAGCTTTTTATGCTCTGTTATTTTCTAATCTCTGTTTCCGTGCTATGATGTTTTTTGGCTGTTGTTACAGCAGAAAAATAAAATAATATTTTAAATAATATTTTAATATTTGTCTCTCTAAACTTACTTTTATTGTAGCAGCTGGGGCTGTTTGGTTGTGCTTGCATGCACGCTTCTTGCCTTGCAGCAGCAGCAGCAACAACAACAACAGCAGCAACAGCAACAACAGCAGGAGCAGCAGCAGTAGCAGCAGCAACAGCAGCAGCAACAGCAGGAGCAGCAGCAGTAGCAGCAGCAGCAGCAGCAGCAACAGCAGGAGCAGCAGCAGCAGCAGTAGCAGCAGCAGCAGCAGCAAGAAGGTGCGATGAAGAGAGGAGACAGACTCTGCTCCCTCTTTATATTTTCATCCTCAGACATATCTTCAGCTGTCTCTGTGAGACCACCGCTTTTTATTTTTTTAACGACTCGCAGCTCTCAACACAACTCAAAACCCAACGCGCCTTGCTGCAGCTCCTGCTGCTGCTGCAGCCCCTGCTGCTGCAGCGCCTGCTGCTGCAGCTCCTGCTGCTGCAGCTCCTGCTGCTGCAGCTCCTGCTGCTGCAGCTCCTG